TCTGTATTTCTTTACCATCTCGTCTCTCTCCTACAGTTGTAAGGTAGGAAGAATCGTGTCATTCCTCTCTGCACTGTTGGCTCTTCAGGAAAGTAAAGACACATTCCACATGGGTTTATTTTCATTTCTTCTGGGGAAGGAAGGGGAGAAGGAGATGTTGGGGAACAATTTAACCCCAGTAAGGGACGCAGTGGATTAAGGGCTGCCGCCAGTGAGATCTGTGATCACCACATTGGATGTCCTCACCGGCAGGCAAGTCCCAGCCCTCCTCACACAGGGTCAGCTCAGATGTGTGACATGTCACATGCGTATCAAGGTAGAAAAAAATTGGTGGTTACAGTTTGATTGGTGGAATGCTTCGCAGGTTGAGTGGCTCAAAGCAAGAAAGAGAATAGCTTTTTAAAAACGATAGAACAGATAAAAATATTTCTAGACTATATTCTGAGATTCTGAGACTCTAGACCAAATTAGAAAACGTAGAAAAACTCTCTGGTTGCTGTCAAGAGAAAGGGTGGCTTTAGGAAGAGAGAGGGGAGACTGGATCTCAGCTTAAAGATTTGGACCGAGTTTATTTTCTTCCCTTTTATTTTTTCATTTGTTCATTCATTTCTTGGTTTTGTTTGGTTTTGCCTTTAAAGATTAAAACTGGAAGTAGGAGGATATGAATGCTCTCAGCGTAGTAAGGTGGTTAGGAGTTACAGATGAGCTTATCTATTATTATAAATGTTTTAAAAAGAACGTGATTGCTTAAGACTTGACTTGGAATTAAAGTGGCAGCTAAAGCAGGAAGAGAGAATGCTGGGATATTCTGTCACTTTCTGCCTTGGCCTGTTATGCAGACTTGAGTCTTCCTGGGAACCTCGAGGATAGGTTGTCTGGCCAAGCACCTCCTTCTGTCAGATCTGATTTTTGCCATCTCTTCCTTTGTTTACATTTTTTTTGTTTGTTTTTCCTTGATCTTTAAATCACAGTGTCTTCAGGCTCTTTGAGTCTTGTCAGTAAAAATTAAATGATCCAGAACTTTTATTTGAAAAAAAAAATGACTTAAAGCTTAATCCAGAAGAAACTTCTGATCAGGGATAAAAACTTGATATTGTCATATGAACTATTAAGTATTACAGTGATACATTTTTTAAAGTTTGGTTTTCATTTTATTGCATTCTGAGAGGAAATGACCCTCAATTGGCAATAGTATAATGAAGTTTTTGTTTTCTATCTCTTCATTAAATATTAAGTACTGAACTTCTAAGAACTCAAAAGATCTAATTGGATCCAACTATGCAAGAGCAATACAGGTATAGAAGTATCTTTTTTTAAGGACAGATCATGGCCACTTCAACAAATATTATATATAGTAAAATTCACTTTTTCTGGTGACACTGTAGTTCTGTGAGTTTTTACACAAACTCAGAGTTTTTTGAGCACCAGCACATACAGGGTAAATAATAATTAAAACGCCCCAGAGGTTACCTTTGTGCTGCCCCTTTGCATTCAGACCTTCCCACCATCATTTGGTGAAAGGTGAAAATCCAACTAGTTAAGGGAGTTTATGCACAGCCTTTGACCAGTTAAGTGGCTTTGGGTGATTCTCAGGAAGCCAGACTAAAATGGGAAAACAAGGGAGAAAAAAAATCTGAGCAGGGACATAAACAGCTGTATACTGTGTGGAAAGTAGACTTCACAGATTTAGATCAGGCAAATAAACAAATACCAGGAACAAAACCTCTGGGGGCTGGGAATATCAGTAACCAGAGTATGCTACAAGATGTTATCTAAAATGTGCAGTTTTCAACAAAAAAATTATGAGACAACTAAAGAAACAGGAAATTGTAACAGATACATAGGAGAAATAATAGAGTCTGCTTTTGAGGGGCCCCATATATTGAATAAAGCAGACAAAAACTTTATTTTAAAAAAAGATTTTTTAATTTATTTATGTCAGAGAGTGAGAGAGAGCACAAGCAGGGGGAGTGGCAAGCAGAGCAGGCAGAACAGGCAGAGGGAGAAGCAGGCTCCATGCTGAGCAAGGAGCCCAGTGATGTGGAACTCAATCCCAGGACCCTAGATCATGACCTGAGCCGAAGGCAGATGCTTAACTGACTGAGCCACCCAGGCATTCCAAGACAAAGACTTTAAAGCAGCTATTATAAATATATTCAAAGATTTAAAGAAACCATTCTTAAAGAATTAAAGAAAGATAGGGTGGCAGTGGATCATCAACTAGGGACTATTTTTAAAAGAAATAGAAATGATAAAGAGCCAAATGCAGATATGATACCAAAAACACAAGCAATAGAAGTGAAAATAGATAAAATGGAGCACATCAACATTAAAAGTTTCTGCACAACAAAGGACACAATCAGTAGAATAAAAAGGCAACCTTTGCAAGGGGAGAAAGTATTTTACAAATCATTTATCTAATAAGGGGTTAGTATCAGAATACATAAAGAACTCCTACAACTCAACAGCCAAGAACAATTCAATTTAAAAATGGGTAGAGGACTTGATAGACATTTCTCCAAAGAAGACATACAGATGGCCAACAAGCCCATGAAAAGATCCTAAACATCACTAATCATTATGGAAATGCAAATGAGAACCACTATGAGATATCACCTCATACCCATTAGAATGGCTGCTGTTAAAAAACAAAACAAAAGCAAAATAACAAGTGTCGGTGAGGATGTGAAGAAATTAGAACCTTTGTACCTTGTGGTGGAAATATAAAATGGTGTGGCTGCTATATAAAATAGTATGGTAGTTTCTCAAAAAATTAAAAACAGAATTACCACATGACCCAGCAATTCCACTTCTGCATATACACCCAAAAGAACTGAAAGCAGCAGAGACTTGGAGAGATATTTGTATATCCATTTAGTTTAATTTAATTTAATTAGCTGTCTATTTATTTTTAGGGAGGGAGAGAAAGCGGGGAGAGGCAGGAGAGAAAACGAGAGAGAATTTTAAACAGGATCCTTGCCCAGCACAGAGCTCAACATGGGTCTCAGTCTCACAACCCTGGGATCATGACCTGAGCCTAAATCAAGAGTTGGACGCTTAACTGACTGAGACCACCCAGGCACCCCTGTATACCCATTTTAATAGTCTTATTCACAGTAGCCAAAAAGGGGAAGCAAACCAAATGTCCATCACAAACAAAATAAACAAAAGTAAACAAAATGTGGTATATCCATACAATGGAATATTATTCAGTCTGTTAAAAGGAAGGAAATTTTGACACATGCTACAGCATGGGTGAACTTTGAAGACATTATGCCAAGTGAGAAAAGGCAGTCACAGAAGCACACTGATCTCACTCATATGGATGTACTTAAAGTAGTCAAACTCATAGAGACAGAATGGTGGTTGCCAGGGACTGGGGTGAGGGGGAATAGGAAATCACTCTTTAATGGGTACAGAGTTTCAGTTTTGTAAGGTGAAAAGAGTTTTGCCCATGGTTAGTGGTGATGTTTGCATAGCAATGTAAGTGTACTTAAAGCTACTGTACACCTAAAGTAGTTAAATGGTAAATTTTATGTTTATATTGCCACAATTTAAAAAATTTAAACATGGAGGGATGCCTGGGTGGCTCAGTTGGTTAAGCAACTGCCTTCGGCTCAGGTCATGATCCTGGAATCCCAGGATCGAGTCCCACATCGGACTTCCCTGATCAGCAGGGAATCTGCTTCTCACTCTGACCTCTACCTTCTCATGTGCACTCTCTCTCTCAAATAAATAAATAAATCTTTAAAAAAAATTTAAACATGGAAATACTAGAATTGAAAACTATAAAAAAAATGAAAAACTCTGGGACGCCTGGGTGGTTCAGGGGGTTAAAGCCTCTGCCTTCGGCTTAGGTCATGGTCCCTGGGTCTTGGGATGGATCCCCGCCTCGGGCTCTCTGCTCAGCAGGGAGACTGCCTTCCCCCCTCTCTCTCTGCCTGCTTGTGATCTCTGTCTGTCAAATAAATAAATAAAATCTTAAAAAAAAAAAAGAAAAACTCACTAGAGGACTCAACAGTAGATTTGGGTTATCAGAAGAAAGAATCCACGGACTTGAATAGAGAGCCATGGAGATAATGCAGTCTGAAGAACGGAAAGAATGACAAAAGAGCTTACAGAATCTCAGAAAAATACAGGTTACCATTAAGTGTACAAGAAGTAGAAGAGAGAGAGAAAGAGGTGGAAAAATATTCAAAGAAGTAATGACTTACAACTTTCCCAATTTGATGAAAACCACTAAGCTACACGTCCAAGATGCTTGACAGACTCTTGCTTGACTGATGAGGGTAAGCATGAAGAGATCCACACCCAGACGTGTAGTCAAAATTTTGAAAGAAAGATGCGGAAAGCAGCAAGAGAGAACTGACTCAGTTCTAGGGGACCTGCAAGAAGATTAACACCTGACTTCTCATTAAAAACAGTGGGGGCCAGATGGCAGTGAGAGGCCATGTTAAAGTGCCGACAGAGTCCTCCGCCCTGCAAAACTGTCTTTCAAAAGCGAAGGCAAAATGAAAATATTTCCAAGTAAATGAAAACAGAATCCATTGCTACCAGATCTGCCTGACAAGAAATACTAAAGGAGGTTCACTAGGCTGAAAGGAAGTGACACTAGAGAGTAATTGAAATACACACACACACACACACACACGCACGCACTCACACACAAGCTCCAGTAGAGGCAATTAAGTGGGTCATGACCAGAGACCATATAGTTCTGTATTTCTTCTTTCTTCTCATAACTGATTTCAAACACCAAGGAGCAGCTTATACCCAGTTGTTTTCTAGTTATTATAATACAGCTCTTTATGTTCACATCAAGGCATCCTCCCAAGCTCCCAAGTTTTCTAAAGGAAAAACTGAGCCAAAGGAAGCCAGTGACTTGCCCAAGAAAGTTTATCTCAAGTCATTCATAAGGAGATAAGTAGCAGGAGCACTCTCAGAATCAGGAAATAATATTCAAAGACATCTTAAAAACTTATCTCTCTGATATTTTTAAACTGCTATTTTCATCATTCTTTGAAGGTAATGTCAAGCAAATGCTTATGGTTTCTTAATTTAGTAAAAAGATTTCAATTTCAGTTGTCTCCATGAGAGATATGGAAAATGTCCTAGATTTCCATCCGACTTCCTGACCAGATGAACGATTTTTTGAACTTACTGCCTTGTTTAGACTGTTTATACCACTAATTTGGGTGGAACTGAATCACGTTTGCAGACTTCCGATGAAGCACTTTAGAGACCTGAACCAACTTTCCTATGTTGCGAAGAGGAAAAGTCTCACTGAATCAACTTAATCATCTGCTCCCTCTTGCTTTTTCTGCTGCCTAAGAAGTATTGCTTAAGAAAGAAGCTTTGGAATGAGAACAAGAAGTATGCGGCTGTAAATTGAGCATGGAAAATAGTTAAGATAATAATCTCTACCTATCAACTCTTCTATTTATGTTAATGTTCTATTAATAGAAAGAATATGTCGTAGTATCAGGAATCAGTGTTTTTATAAGTATCATTCATAGTTCTGTTGAGCCTCTACTGTAATCAGACCAAAACTAGCAAATAAATCCGTAAGAACCACGATATCTGTTTACATACATGGTTCCATTTTAAACTGCGGCCAAAGAGAAGGTATTTCCCTAATATAGCTCTTGGAGTTTAGCCAAACAGTCCAACACTTCAGGGCACAGAACCGGAACAAGTGCTCCCAGGTTTGCCATGTGATCGAAGTGATGCTCAGTGATTTGCTCATGAAAACAAATCTATTTTTGGTTATGACTGAAGAAAAAAATTATGTAGACTATCTGAGGGGAATCCATCTGTAGCATACACCGAAAGGGAAAAATGTTTAGAAGCCATTGCTCTCCTAGAGTGGGAATAAATGTAGAGGGCGGCCATCCTTGTCCTGTGCTTTCAAGCAGTATCGTATCTACAGCACTCCAGCAAGGCCGTCATAATCCTGAAAAAAAAATTATGCAGGTTAATTCCACGTTTCTAATGGGAGTACATTGCAGTGTGCAGTAAGCCATTCAGTTAGAAATTTTTTCTTCTCCAAGTGCAGTCTTATTACAATGAAAAACTTTTTGCCGTATCTCCACACTTGATAGAGAATGACCAGTATGTATTTCCTTATAGTAACTTTTTCATGAAATCATCAAATTATAAAATTGAAATAGAAGCAACAGGGGCGCCTGGCTGGCTCAGTTGGTGAAGCAGGTGACTCTTGATCTTGGGATTGTAGGTCCAAGCCCCATGTTGGGTATAGAGATTTCCTAAAAATAAAACCTTTAGGGGCACCTGGATGGATCAGTCAGTTAAGTGCCTGACTCTTGATTTCAGCTCAGGTTGTGATATCAGGGTCCCAAGATCGAGCCCAGCATCAGGTTACACTCAGTGCAGAGTTTGCTTGTCCCTCTCCCTTTGCCCCTCCCCCTCCAAATAAATAAACAAAATCTTTTTTTTTTTAAGATTTTATTTATTTATTTGACAGAGAGACACTGAGAGAGGGAACAGAAGCGAAGCGAGTGGGAGAGGGAGAAGCAGGCTTCCTGCTGAGCAGGGAGCCTGATGCAGGGCTTGATCCCAGGACGCTGGGATCATGACCTGAGCCGAAGGCAGATGCTTAATGAGTGAGCTACCCAAGTGCCCCAATAAATAAAATCTTTTAAAAAGTAAAATCTTCTGAAAAAAATAAAAAACAGGGACACCTGGATGGCTCAGTCAGTTAAGCGTCTGCCTTCGGCCCAGGTTATGATCCTAGTCCTGGGATTGAGTCCCGTGTCTGGCTCTGTTCAGCAAGGAGCCTGCTTCTCCCTCTCCCTCTGCCTGCCGCTTTACCTACCTGTGCACTCTCTATCAAATAAATAAAATCTTTTAAAAAATAATAAAAAATAGAAACAACAAAGTTTCTGAAAATAATTGCTGTCATTTAGATTCTGTTTGAGCATCTCCTAGAAAATGGCACTTCCATGACATGAGGCAGTCTTTCAGTTTTTAAAAAACTATTTTTCACTTAGGTTCTGTAGGGCCTTCTCCATCTTCTCTTTCTGTTCCTCAGGCCAAATTGTAATGATTCCTTTAACTTTATCTCCTTTTCATTATTTTTGCTGTTTCTTTCTTTATCCTTTTAAAAACATATTTACTTAATATATTCATACAATGCTTTCCCAGAGAGCAAAAGGCTACTGGAAGACATCTAAATAACACATACGCTTTACGAGCCAAAAACAAACTTAAATGTCAGAATGACAAAAATGCAGGAGGGAGAGTGAATACAGCAGGAATGAGCCTGGAAAAGAATCAGGGTCCAGAGGGGCTGAACCCTCAAGGTCTGCAGTAGAAACTTTACATAGAAAATGAGTTTGTGCCATATTCCATACACTCATGAAAGCCATTGATTGCATTGTTCTAGAAAGGGTCAGGAATTTCCACCCCCTCTCCCCACAGCACAATCCTGTGGTTCACATTTGCAGGCTACACTGCCCCTTCTTAGCCCTGTGGTCTCTGGTTGATACAGAATAATTGAGCTGGACAGGACTGGAAGATATCATCAGCTCCTGAAAATTTCCAAGGATCACAGTTCTGTGGCATTCTTTGTAACCCATCCTCTTTTTCACCTTTTTCTCTTTCCCTGCTCTCTCTGCCTCTCCCTCCCCAAGGAATCTCAACTCCCCAAGTAGGAGCTAGTATCATTAGGAAGGCCAGCCAGGGGCACCCCTTACACTGCGCCTTTGAGTACGTCCCATGCAGTCATTGGGTATCACGTTTAGGGAATAGTCATCTCCTGTCTACTTTTAGTTATGGCGGTCACATCTTTGGAATGACCAGAATTGGACCAGACGACTTCTCAAGTCTTTTCAAACTGTAATGTTCTCTGATTCTCTAATTCTGTGAACCAAAATAGGAATCAGAGACTAATCATAGGTTGTTTCTTGTAAGCATTAACTTCAAATACCGCTTCAATCAGGCTTGCAGAGTACTTGGCAGGACATTTTTCTTAATTTCTGGGTAAAGTTTGGTTCTGATGGCCAGTCCTCAAGAGAAGCATAGAAAAGATGAAGGGAGAATTCTAAAGGAGGACCAGGTGTGACTGGGGATGCACTTTAGAATCCTGTAGATGGGACTATGGTAAAGGCTCTGAACCATGCAGCGACCTTTCCACCCCATGCTCAGATTCCAGAACTGTGGGGTGTTCTTGAAAGTGAAAAACAAAGATAAGATCAATAAAAAGTATAGAAGGTATATTTACCTATTAAGCTGTAGGTCATAACTTGAAAGAAGAATTGTCTGCGAGGCCTGGACTGAAAACAGACTCATGATAAATTCATTTTGTTTATTGCAAAAATGAAGCATATACTGGTGGTACATTCCTAACTTCTCAAAGTGTGCATTCCTCAGTAGTGTTTTGAAGGGTTTTTCCAACGCTAAAAGTAGTAATTGCTCATAGTAGGAAGTTTTGGGTAATATAAAAAAAAAAAGGTCAAGATCAGCTAGAGAGAGCCACTCTGAACCTTGGGTGTGTTTCTTAAAGTCTCATTGCTGGTGTATTCTCAAGCATAGTTGAGATCATTTGGCACACACCATTTGTATGCTGATTTTTCCCTTTGCAGAGAATGTTCCAATGCCAATGATGTAACTTGAAGAATTCAAGTTACATCATTTTATTTTATTTTATTTTTTATTTGAGAGAGCGTGAGAGTGTGAGAGAAATAGCATGAGCAGGGGGAGGGGCAGAGGGAGAAGCAGACTCCCCACTGAGCAGGGAGCCTGATGTGGGGCTTGATCCCAGGACCCTAGGATCATGGCCTGAGCCAAAGGCAGATGCTTAACTGACTGAGCCACCCAGGCACCCCTCAAGTTACATCATTTTAGTTACTATATAATATTTCCTCTTTAGAAGTCATCAGTGTTTCCTTAGCTTTTCCTCCTATCTGGGGGATAGTTAAATGGTTTCCTTTTTTTCATGATTGTAATAAATGACATCTTTGTACATCAGTATTTGTTTACATTTCAGATTATTTGCTTATTTTCTTGGACTTGTGAGGTTCACATCATAAAGCCACCCATACCCTCTCTGTATACTTCTTGTTCAAGACAGCGTACTGGGACTGCCACGCATCTGACCCAGCCTGGCACCATTTCCCGTATGAAAAATAAATGCTCCTGCTTAGAACCATTTAAATCATTTCCAGCTGTACTTATGAGAGAAAACATTTCCGAACCCATTGTAGAGTTGGTATTGGAGTAGCAGAGCAAGGTGACACTTTTATTTATAGTTTGCTTATGCTCTAACTTATTTTAATTGACCTCCTTGAAGCTTTTGGTATATGAAGTGTCCGCAAGTCCAGATTTAAACTGTTTTCCATCTGTGGGCCTCCATAGGGGTGATTTTCAGCTGAAGTATTTATATTTGCCGTAAACCTGAATGCTAATGAATGGGTTTCCACCTTTTAGATCCTGAAGAAGCGAGGTTGGAGACTTGGCTCCACAAGAACGCCCTGCTTTTCTTTCTCTGTGGAAATAGTATGTGCCTGGTTGGAAGAGAGGTCTAATCTGTCCCCAGGGCAGGCCTTCCTCTTTCATCTCTGGCCTCGAAAAAAAGAGTTGTTTCTGAGTCCCTTTCTGTGGAACTTTGAATTTGCACTTCTAAGTCAGCCACGTCCTCTCACTGATCTGTGTTTGCTCTTTGCTTCTAGATGCCATTGTTTTAAACAAGGTGTGACACCTTGTCCCTGAGCCCTTGGATTGGTCAAATGGGCTGCTTTTACTACGTTTGAGTAGAATGTTCCTTCTTCCATTCAATAAGAGTTACTTTTCTTTCTCTCTCCCTTCCTTCCCATTCTTTTCTCTTCTCTTCCTTTTAACTATTTAACCCAAGGCAGGGGGGAAGGCAAAGCCAGCAATATAGGAAGGGAAACATATCAAGAATGAATATTTTATATACTTTTATGACCAGTATCATATTGGTTTTTTACCTCAGCTTTACTGAGGTAGAATACTGAGGTAAAGAATTAATTGGCAGGGCGCCTGGGTGGCTCAGTGGGTTAAGCCGCTGCCTTCGGCTCAGGTCATGATCCCAGGGTCCTAGGATCGAGTCCTGCATCGGGCTCTCTGCTCAGCAGGGAGCCTGCTTCCCTTCCTCTCTCTCTGCCTGCCTCTCTGCCTACTTGTGATCTCTGTCTGTCAAATAAATAAATAAAATCTTAAAAAAAAAAAGAATTAATTGGCAAATAAAATTGTAAGATATTTGAAGTGTACACCGTGATGATTTTATACACATATACATTGTGAAAGGTTTCCTCCCATCTGGTTAATGAATACATCCATCACCTCACGTAGTTATATATGCCAGTGTTATTTATAGTCTGTTTTATTGAGGTATAATTTATA